TAGGAATATATACTTGAAAAACAAGGTGGATAAAATAAGTAAAGGTTTATTGTAAAAACCAGTACAATAAGAATAAAGGTAACATTTATGCACAAGGTCGTCGCAAGTAAACCCAGTAGTGAGTGCTACTATTTGAAGGTCGGTAGTACTCAACAGATCCTAGCTAGTAATATTTACCAACCTCTCCAACGCCGAATTTAACATGGGGCAATCCGAGCCCGTAGGCTCGGCCAAAAATTCCCCGTAAACACCGTATAAACGGTTTCGGGTCTGTCTACCTCCCCGGACGAGACCCTGCCCTTCGGCATAGCCTCGTCTGGGGATACTCTCTATCTGGAGGTCGAGAGTTTGACCAGAACAGCTGGAAAAGATCCCAAATAGTAATATTTATCAACGTCCCCACGGGGTAGGATGTGGCACAAGGCCGAATTTAATGTGGGGGATTCGAGCCTGTAGGCTTGGCCAGAAATTCCCTGTAAACACCACATAAATGGGTTCGGGTCTGTTTAGCGACTCATGGTGGTGACAGGTTATTCATTTATATCACCTACGTTTGTGGGGCAACTTAAAGTTTTATGGTTTCCCACGTCGCCATATTAATGTATATACTGCTTAAAATTTGCTAAATATATATGTGGAAGTGTGTTCAATATCTGAGAAGAACTTTTGTATATACGGTGTGTGCAAAGGAATCAATACTGCATGGTTTTACCCCTAAATCTATTTTCAGGCCAGTATTCGCTAATCATTTTGCAGGCTCTACATGGAGGAGTGTTATACAAGCTAGGATATAAAGTCTATAAAAAGAATATCGACACTTAGTCTGAAGATCGCTTGAAGCTTGAAACTGATAGATAACATGTACGGCTGAATCCTATATCCCACAATATATATATATATATATATATATATATAATAGCAGGTAAGTTCTTAGAACCGAACAGCCTGTGTACTCGCATAGGATTTGATTATAATGGTGAATGTTTGTGCAGAACCAACCACAATTTTTGGAAGAATGGAATACAGAGGACTGTTACCTAGTATGACAAAAGGTCTCCAAACTCCCCTACTCTAGTTTCGAATTCAGATTTCTTTTTTCCTAGCCGCACAAAAAGGATATATATATATATATATATATATATATCGTGGGGTTGAATAAGTGATCGTACACATGAAAATATTTCATATTATTATTGTAACGTATTAAATTAACAAAACGGAAATATATCTACTGTATCAGATTGCATACTAAAAATGTATGCACATAAAACTAAATAATAGTCCATGGTTAAGAAAATATAGCAATATTTAAATTCTTAATGGTTTAAAAATTGATCGTACAGCAGAACAAAAACATGTTCTCTGCATTTAATATTTTGTAGCAAAGCCTTTATTAAGTTCAACAGCAACTCATCTTTTCCTGCACTCTTTAATTAACGATTCGCATACTTTAGTAGGTATTTTGTCCCATTCTTCCTGAGTAATTGTCTTCATTTTTTTATGTTTGTTGCAGCTCTATCACGGATTTTATTTTTCAAAAATATTGGATTCAAATCCGGCGACTGAATGAGCCATTGCAAGATGTTAACTTTGTTATTAGCAATCCAATTCTTCGTACTCTTAGCAGTATGCTTGGGATCATTGTCCTGCTGGAAGATCCAATCAAGAGAAAGCATTACATTTTCGCAGAGGATTTGTTGGTATTATTCATTCTACCTCTATAATTGCTAGTTTGCCAACACCTCGCATCGAAAAGCAGCTCCAAATAATGATACTACCCCTACTAAATTTGACATTTGGTATGGTGTTCTTGGGTGCGTATGCTTCGCCGTCTTTCCTCCATACATGATTAAGGGAATTGCGACCGAACAACTCAATTTTACTCTCATCTGTCCAAAGAACTCTTTCCCAATAAGAATTTCAACCTGCATCTCTATACCGTTTCAGAAGGAGTGGTGTCTTTCTTGGGGAGCGCGTTTTTATACCGTCTCTGCGTAGTTCATTACTAATCGATTGCTTAGTTACGTTAACACCTGACAAACACAGATCATTCTGAAGGGCTTGTCTAGTGGCCATTGGGTTATTCTGGACCTGTCGCGTCAACTTTCTTCGTAATCTGGGAGAGATGTCCCTGGAAGCACCGGGTCTGCCTTTGTTCTCAACAGTATTACGTCTTTTAAATCTTGCAGTAAATGAACCAATTTTTGAAAAAGTACAGGCTCTCGAGAAAGCAGTTGAGCAACATGCTCCATAAGTTTTCTATGGGGTTGAGGTCAGGAGATTGGGGCGGCCATGTCACCTGCTTCTCATCAAAGTATTCTTTCATCAATTTTGATTTGTGACAGGGAGCATTATCCTGCATAAAAATGAGCTTGGTGGGGTCGATTTGCACCCTTTCAGCAGGACTCTAAAATTCTCTTGTATTGCTCGCTCCTGAGGGTCTTTTCAATAGGTTTTAAGAAACCAGTTCAATGAAAAGAAAAGCAACCCCAGAACATTATACTGAACGGATGCTTGCCAGTACTTACTGCTAAATTCAAAGAGATTTCAAAGCTTCTTCTTCGGGTTTTAGATCGCTTATCCTTTGAATTTAGCTCAACTTTCGTTTCACCGGAGAAGAGAACATTTAGTTAAAAAAAAAAAAAAAATTCAGGTTAGTCACTTTTATCGAACAGCACTGTATATATATATATATATATATATATATGAATAGTAATTTTGGGGATTTGAATACATTTTCATAATAATTCACCATGGCTATACCTAGAACAACAGAGTGCAGAAAACTTTTGAGACTCATCATCAGTGCGAATCCACTACTGAGAATCGAACCCGTATACAATACAACGCAAGCATTATACCATTGGGTCAACTTGGCACAATATAACACAACTAATCATATTTTCGGTGGTGATACTCATTAATAAACATAACCTACAGGACCGGCCCCAAGAGCAACAACTTCCTTCACCAAACTGCTCAATCCAGAGCATTAGAAGTTGGATCTATCAGTTTTATATAACTGAATATATATATTTGTTGTGAAGCGTTATTGGTAAGAACGAGATTGGAAGTTTTGAATTTTTGTAGTATATGATAATTTGAGGTGGTTATTACGCATGGCGTTCTATATTTTGGGGTTACTCATGCTGCAAGTAAGGGCTAGAACTGAATGACTATTTTACAATATTTCGTCTTCACAAATTTTGCAAGAAAAGTTAATTAAAAATTAAACATCATTCTTAGTAAATTATTTTTTATTTATTTTGTACTATAAAAATATTGCTCTCAATAAACTAAACTAATAAACATTTTTAAAAAAACCTTATAGAAAGAAAAACACAAAGTATAAAAATTAAACTTTATGATAAATTTTATTATTAATAAATATTTAATAAATAAATATACTAATACATTTTATTAATAATATATTTGATGCTGTGACGAACAATATCAGAGAAAAAATTAAATTAACTTCGTGTGACAAATATATAATTTTTAAAATACATTTAGAAGTATAAAAATAATTGAAAAAGTATCTTTGGAAGAAAATTCCGTGTTAAAAATGAAACATAAGGGAGCATAATTAAAAAGTAACTTTCTTGAGAGTCGTTGCAATATTTGTAAGAAGGAAAACTGGAAATATCGCATTAATAAATTATTTATTAAAATCAAGTAAAATTACACATTTTTTTCTTAATTAGCGCATACTGCTTTGTCTAAAGTTTCAATCTTCTTTTCTTTAATTTTGCGGTGTACAAGTTTACATTACTGATTTTTTTTTTCTTTAGCTGTGAGAAACAAAAGACAAATTACGCCTAACTAAATTAAAGTTAGCCTCTTTGATATTATGAATAAAAATTTAATCGCAAAAAATATTAAATTAACTTTAGACCAAGATTTCTAATTAACATTTTAGACCAAGATTTCAAAATAACATTTTAGTGAACCTCGCACGAAAGGGTTTGTGTTTGCAATAAACATAAAATAATACAGCAATTCCGAAGGAAATAAAGTAAATACAGTTTATTGTTCAATTAAATAGTTATTTCCAGTGTAAAGTATTTCCGTGATTCTTTTCTTTTAACCGGCTAGAACAGCCACCTACCGTAACTGAAATGCGACGATTCCAGTGAAATGAAGAGCTTTTGAAATACGCCTGCAGTTTTGACCCTTAGTTGCACTATGTGTACGCCTGTAATATAGAACGTCATGTTAATACTGTCTGTAGGAGTTCTTATATATTTTATGTTTTTTCTTGCTTTTTCATTACTTATACAAGTGCATCCGGTTAGGGTAAAATAATTTTTTATGTATGTTACCGTGATTAATTGTGCGTAAAAATACTTTTATTTTCTCATCGATGATGTGATTAGGAAAGTCGTTTTTTTTAATCGTTTATGAGATAATTCTTTATTGAAAATTGTTTTAGGGGAAGAGATTAATTTAGCACAGTTAATACGTTTTTCTTTCTGTGTCAGCTATCTTGTAATGATAAACGCACTGACTTTGGTAGTTAAGCAGGGAAGGGTTTAATACTCGTCGATGTGTTTTGATCTTCCCGTAATAAAATTCTGATCACCGGAATCAATATAGAAATCAAGAAAAAGGATTTTTTTAAATTGATTCTGAATTCAGATGTAAAACAAAGCAAATAATTACTTTTAAAGATCGATTTACGATTTTACCTGATCGAGAACTTTTACGAAACGGAATATATTAGACAGATAATGAGATTGTCTTTTGTGTTCAAAGTTTTATTTTATATTGACATGTGGTTTGGCTCAGAGCATCTTGGAAAATTAGAAAAGAACTTGTACCTGTAACAATGAATTTTTATTATATAATTCTTACTATTTAACCCATAGATTAGAGGAGATGTAAGTGTATTTGGACGTAAGTAAATATGGCACACTCGACTGGCATTCGAATTCGATTCTCCGATTTCTCATTCACAACCGCTATTTATTATACCACCCACACATCTCTCTGGTTTTATCACGTTGAAACACCGGTTCTCGTCTGATCACCGAAGTTAAGCAATGTCGAGCCTAGTCAGCATTTAGATGGGAGACGACTTTGGAATACCAGATAGAGTAAGCGGGTGGATGTGCTGGTGATTTTATTGATATTCATCTTTAAATATGAAATATAAATTGAGAAAGCAGGTTAAAATTGTTTTGTGTCAGACCCACTGTCTTTCCAATGCAATGGTGAGAAGGAAAAGAGACGCCATTGTTATCGGAAGGAACGTTTTGCTTATTTGTTCCTTTTGATAACAACAGCGTTCTCTGCAGATTAGGATTTATATTTCTTATGTCCAACCTTATTTTCAATCTTTAATCCGGGCCTAAATTCAAATCCCAAATTAAACTAAAATTCATTTAAATATTTTAACAAAAATAATAATCCATCCCAACAATAAAATATCTCGCCATAACCAGAAATATTAAACAAGCAGTGTTAACCAAAAAAAATTGCACCTGGCGAATGCAGAAGGCATGAGACTCCGAGTTGTGCAATCAATGTAAGGTATGTATGTTACTTAATATATATATATATATATATATATATATATATATATATATATATATATAGAGAGATAGAGATAGAGAGAGAGAGAGAGAAAGGCAGAAAGGTGGGAAGACGATTGAAAGAGAATTTGGGTAAACTTGGTATGTAAATTTAATTGAATTATGATAAGAGATTTTCACTTTGTAATGTCCGATCTATTTTATTGCTAATCGTAGAACACTTTCTCCGTCTGCAGCAGAATATGGACTCACATGAAGTAACCCTTTCCAGAGTTCACTGGGAAATATCTAGTGGTTTGGTGACTTGGTTCTGAACATCTTAGAAAATCTGGAAAGAACAATACTTTTTTTTCAGATACAAGTCTTACTATCCATAACATGAAGGAGAAGCGGTAGATTCATACCTTTCCAAAGGTTCCAAGTGACTATGACGAACTTGACTGGGTTTTGTGGGTTACTTCAAGCCGAAACATATACCGGATGGAGGAAGTTGCTTAAAGTACTCAGTGTTCTCAAGAGGTCCTCCATCTAAGTATTGACCGGTCTCAGCACTGCTTAAATGCGGTGATCGAATGCGAATCGGTGTTCCCACCGGGATTTGACCGGAAGAAACATTGTTGCAATTCTAATTGTTTAAAATCTTTTCTATGAAGTAACTCTGTCCACAGTTCGTACTTAGTTGGTCTAATGATTCCGAGTTTTCCACTGGTGTGATTCATTATTAAGAAAGAAAGGAAGAAAGAAGGCAATTCGACAAAAGTCAAAAGTCTGTTTGCTTGTTTGCCTCTTTGAAGTTGATTTTTAAATGTTTGCGTTCTTAAGTCAGCGTGGTGTTTGTTTTGTTTTTTTTTTTTTTGGGGGGGGGGGTTGCATTTGTTTCGAAACTCTGTGGTATCACATAATTGTGACCTTGTATGGATTTGTGATGTTTAAACCATTTCAGAAGACCTAATTCAGAATCGCAAGTGATTTTCTTGATTATTCGTTGTTTGGACTTAATGTAGATGGCTTCTAATATCTGTAGTTTTTCTTAGCAATTTGTTTTCATGAGTACATAGTCTTATTCACATGGAACTGTCTTATAATACCATAATGTTTATTTTGCTGTATCATCTGTTGCTATATGTATAATTTTGTTGTAAATACGGCAAGTTATTCTGTGAGAAAGAGTAGTGGCTCTATATCCTCAACAAATGTTTTAGTAATACAGACTTTCATAGGTAAATTGAAATTATAAACAACACTAGTCTTATAGAGGAGGTCTGATTTTAATGTGGTGTTATTAATGACTACAACGTTAAAAGTTTTAAATGAATTAGAGAATGAATCATAAATGGAGGCATTATATAAATACGGATTATATTTTTTACATCTATTTCGTTTTATTTATACTTATGTTTTCTTACATGATCGTTTTCCCGCGCTCTCAGCTTCCAATTCCTCGCCCCTTGTGAAGCTATGCATTTTGTGGGACTATGGTGTCATTGTTGGATAGAATCTTGGAACTCATTTTCTGAAATGTCTTTCCATAATTGAATCACGTGTTTCTGGATGTCGAGGATCTCAGGATTTTTTTTTCTTTTTGTAAAATAGCCAAAATTCATAGTGAAATTCATAAGTCTGGTAAATAAAGCGGGTGGTCCATTTTTGTAATGGATACCTTAGTCACCAGTACAGGAAGAATTCTAGCCTAGTCTGTTGTGTTCACTTTCACACTAATGCCCCCACACCACCCCGGGAAAGGCATGGATCCATCTCTTCTTGTCATAGAGCTAGGAGCGGCCTAGAGAGAGTCGATTCTTGGTAGCCAATCTAGAAGTATTACTCGGAAAATAAATGTTAAATAACTTGGAAAAGGTAACAAACAGTCCGCTAATTTCTTCTCTACGACGTAATATCGCATATAGACATCACAGATAATGAAGTGAAGGAATGTGTGTGAGCCATGTTTGCATGCGTGTTAAAATAACGTAGCATTAAAAAAAAAATCTTCAAAAATCCGGAAAATTTGAAATTACGAAGCTGAGTCCCGCCACACCGGTTTTCGTATTTCTTACTGAGGCAGTAGATAATGTCTTGGCCTTTTTTCCTTCTGGTGCAACCACGTTAAACATCACCAATCATAACAATTATGTATAATGAACTGCCGCCATTTTTTTTTCAGTGCTCAACTCGCAAGTTGTAGCTAGAAATGTATAAGTTAATTTCCAGCAACAATAAAATGATACGGATATTAAGTTTAGTAAACATTTGAATATTGAAAATGGCGGCTTTAATAACGACGGTTTGCAGTCAAAATTAACATCAATAATGATTATGCCTGTCTCGTGGTTATTCCGCCATATTTACTGCTTTGATGATTTATCGTTTTCTTTTGGCGGGAAAGGCAGCTATTCCTTGATTTCCATCTATTTTCTTGGAATTCTTCCGTTTTCATTTTTTTCTTCTTTCAGTCCTTCCTTTCGCATTTCTTTCTGTTCTTTTCCTCACTTATCTTCACCTTTTTTTTTTATTCCTCGAAATTATTGGTTCTTCGTGTGTCTGTTTTTCTTTTGTGACTGTCTATTCAATAAACATGTTCGCTCATCTTTACCAAGTGACTTTTTTTTGCGTTCTTTCCATGCTTTTATTAATCACCTTCTCTCCGCAATTGAAATGGACGCGCATCATAACAAAATTATCCCTTTTCATATTTCTTATCAACCATATCCTTTAAAACTGCCTGTCATCTGAAATAACGTTCCATTCAGCTCTTGAAGTAAACGATTTCTCAGTTTAACTGATTCAAGTGAATGACCATTAATGTCGAGTATAGAGTAAGAAGAGAATTCATAACATTGTGTTGCTAGATGAGATTGATAACACTCATGCTTCAGTGGGCACACACCTACACACACATATAATTGTATATGTGTATGTGTGTGTATGTGTCCGTGTTTGTGTGTATAGGTGTTAGAACCTCAGCGTCAAGCGGCTAATCTGGTTAAAGATTAGATGAGTAGAACAAACCAAACAACATTATATATATATATATATATATATATATATATATATGGTACGATGAATAAATTGTTGTCTAAATTACGCAAAAATTGAAATCACACTGACATCTCATTATAACTGATATATTTACCAAAAATATCTTGAAATAGTAAAAAAATAAATTTACTCAATAAAATTGCCATTGGCTTCAAACACAGCCTCCAGTCGACTTCGGGATCTCCTGCAACTCTTCTGAATGGCCTCTTTGTTTAAGTTAGTGAATGTTGCCATAATCCCTGCCTTCAGATATCTTGTGTTCTAAGAAGTTTTGTTGGTATTTCCCTCAATTTCTCACTGCATATAATAATCACGGGGGTTGCCGTCTGGGGAGTTAGGTGACCAGATATAAGGGTGATCTAGTCGTAGAAATTGTCTGGCAGCTATGACTGGATTGTCTTGCTTGTCTGGCATGGGTGTAGGGTCCTGTTGTAAGATATAAGGTTTCCAAACAGCCACTCTCTTGACACAGGGTAACACTACCACCAAATATCACTTGATATAGGTCTCCGTGTTGAGTTACCAACAAATTCGGGAGTTCTTTTTTTTTATCAAAACGATCAGAGTGAGTTTTCCGAGCTGCCGTACCTTCGTAATCACCATTAGACTCATCCAACTCTTTCCGAATCCGCTGCACTCTGCTCAGATTGACACCCAAACACTCTGAAATGATCGTATTGGACCTTTCGGTGCGAATGTCAAATAGTATATGCCATTTCCAAATTTTTGGCGGAGTGAATTGCATCGTGGTACAATTTCCCTCACAGACGGCGTCCACCTGACCCTACTCTTCTATGTAGTCGACAATATAAAAAAAATGAAACATCAATCAACACGAAATTAAAAATATAAATGGTGTCAATTTATCTATCCTATTCTGTATATATATTATATATATATATATATATATATATATATATATATATATATATATATATATATATGTGTGTGTGTGTGTGTATGTATATGTATATACACGCACATAAAGATGACTGACAAGGTACTGTCAGTACTTAAAATGAAACATCAAACAACGCAAAATTCAAAATATAAATGGTGACAATTTATCTATCGTATTCTATATATATATATATATATATATATATATATATATATATATATATATATATATATATGCACGCACACAAAGACGACTGACAAGGTACTGTGATTAAGCTTTTTATTTATATTTTATTGTATTCGTATAAGTGTTTTCTTTACTGATCACAAAGGGTATAAAAACAGTCTAAACGCTCTGCATATCCCTGCGCTTTTGGCTATTCTTTTAGCCATTATTAGGGCGATTTTGATTTTGATTTTTAACTGAATGTGTGGGATTTTTATGTATGAATCTAAAGTTATAGGAATGTTTTATCTCCCAAAAATTGTCAGCACATTGTGGCTGTGTTTATAATTAATGTTATATTCTGTTGACTTTAAAAAGTTTACCAAAATATACGCCCGCTGTGATATTTTTATTTTAGCGAAAAGCAAAAAAAAAAGAAATTGGTAGTCCAAAA